GAGGGAGGTGGAGGGGCCGCTGGAGGACCAGGGAGGCCGGAGCAGGGGGATCCTGGATGCACAGTGAGGGAGCTGGCTGCAGCCAGAGGAGCGTGCCACGCTGCGCCCGGGAACCTTCACTGCCTCCCCGTCGCCCCCGGACGAAGCTCTGGCGTCTTCGCAGCCTCATCTCCCTTCCCCAAGGACCAGCCGGACTCTACACGTTGAGCGCCTGTTTGCTGGACGCGCTGCTCGTTTTGACGCCTCTGGTCCATTCTGTACTTCACTCAACCTTTCTCTCAGTCAACCTGACCTAAGTTTAACCTCAGCGTAAGATTCAAACCTGTTTCTCACTTAGCTGGAGTCTCAGATGAACTGAGCTCTCCCAGGCTTCCATCTCTGAGCCTGGATTGTCTGAGTTTTAAAACCTTTGTATTTCCAACGGTAATCTCTTGGATTCTGGTCCCTGGCGTCCACCATAGGGGCGGGGAGAGCCAAGTCTCACCTCTATTCCTCCCCAGCACTTTCCCCATTCAGGTCATTTCCATGGCTGCCCTTGACCATGACATAACCATTTCTGCCCCTTTCCCACATTTAGGCCTGATGTGCTCTGGCCAGGCATTGAACAAGCCCAATTTGGGGCCTGCCACTTTGACTCCCAACCGCAGAGGGGCAGGGTGTGTTCTCTCCCCCCGCCCCCAGCTGCCTCCCATCCTCTTTGGCCCACCTTCCAAATATGCAATTGGTGCCCTGTCACTATTTGACCTGACACAGATGAATGGACGTTAGGGTGCTGCTGGGACTCCCACCACTCTAGAAATCACCCTTCTGACCTCTTTCCCATCATCAAAAGGGACAGTCACTTTCACCCAGACTTCTCAGGAACTCAGCTTTTACTCCAAATGGGATTATCAGACAGATTTGTCCTGTCCTTAAATTTAATTCTTCCAGCAATAATTTTCTCCATCTCCTTATGTTCATCTGATTGTCTAAAATCTTGCTCTTCACAGAAGTATGGTGCTTGGACCAGTTGCATCTGAAGTACACAGGAGCTTGTGTTCTCTCTCTCTCTTCTCCCTCCCTCCCTCCCTGTCCTCCTCCTCCTCCTCCTCCTCCTTCTTCTTCTTCTTCTTCTTTCTTTCTCTCTCTCTCTCTCTCTCCTCTCTCTCTTCTGTCTTCTTTTTCTCTGTCTCCCTCTCTCATTGTAGATGAGTTGGGCCTGACTCATAGCTGACTCACCATTGGGTTTCCAAAGCTGTAAATTGCAAGGGAGGAGACTGCCCATTTTTCTCTTGAGACGCCTCTGATGGAATCAAACCTTCAGAGAGACATGGCTTTTGGGTTAGCAGTACAGTCTCCTTATGGGAGCCTGATAGAAATACAGAATCTCAAGCCCCACACCAGGTCTGCTGAATCAGAATTTACATTTTAATAATCTCCCAGGTGATTTGTGTACACGTGACATTTTAGAAACATTGCTGTAAACAAACTCCCTGAACAATTTCATACTCCATCTGACTTTACTCCGAACCATTAAACCTACCTCTAGCATTCTGATTTCCGGCAGCTCTCTGTGTCTTGCTTGACAACAATGAGAAGATATCTTGGCAGCACCCTGCTAGCTCTCTCAGTCCCATTGTGCCCTGGGACACTATCTCTTCTCTGTCTGGGGCAAGGATGTGGATTCAGGGAACACATTGCTTTGTTCTTTCTCTGCCCCTCTTGAACTGCTCAGATGCTCAGACCTCCCCATTCTCAAAAGAATGTTTCCTTTATCCTTATCTTCTGTTTCAATGGCTACCCCTCCTAAGAAAGTTCAAGTAGCACCACCTGTGAGTGTCTTGTCTTCTTGTCCATCAAGCCACTTCTGAAGCCCTCTGGGTCAGGCAGCCTTCCAATCTGCCTGCTCCAGCTCTCAGATTCCAGGTCAGGCTCTCTGACTTCCCTGCAGCAGAGGGCTCACCACATCTATTCCTCTTCTCCATGCAGCTGAGGACCCATCCCACAACAAAGGCACAGTGTTTCTCTCTTCCACTCTTGAACATACCTCCCCACCCAGGACTCTGGGCCCTCTTTTCCTTCCTCTTGTCAGAAAACGCCTCCTGGACCATCTTCTCAGGGGCCATTTTTGGGAAATGATCTCCATTTGTGATCTCCATCTGTCCTGCTTCTGGTAGCTCTAAACACCAACTGGTGAAAACAGAGCTGGACTTGGCCCTGGGAAAGGAAAGAATATCTGCTTGGAAGGGGCCTGGGTTGAGACTGCTTGGCCACATGTCCAGGCCTATGTCAGTGTCTGTCCATGGCACCTCCTCCTGATGCCTACCAGGCTTGGAGCCTGGTTGTTATCTCTGATACTCTCCTAGCCTTGCCCTAGAGTAAATTGTTTTTAAAGTCTAACAGATTCTCCTTTCCCTGCCCCTTTACCCACGACAGTGCCTACAATTAAAACCTTTAACAAAGATTTTCATTGTCTTCAGCTACGCTCTACATCAGGAAAGATGTGCATCAAGGTTATACTTTTCTCTCTATCTATTCAATCTGTACGCTGAGCAAATCATTTGAGAAACCAGTCTATACAAAGAAGATTCTGGCATCAAGATTGGAGGAAGCCTCAACAATCTGTGTTGTGCAGATGATACAACTATGGTTGCAGAAAGTGAAGAGGACCTGAAACACTTGCCATAGTAGAGCCAAGACTACAGTCTTCAAAATGAATTACATCTCAACATCAAGAAAACAAAAAGCATCACCACTAGACCAAGAGGCAATGTCATAATAGATGCAGAAAAGACTGAAGTTGCCAGTGATTTAGTTTTGCTTGGCTCCATCATGAACAGCCGTGGTAACAGCCGTCAAGAAATAAAAAAATGTGTTGCATGTTGAAAACATGCTGTTGAGGAACTTCTCCAAAATGCCAAAGAACAACGTTTCAATGTAAAAATTAAAGTGTGCTTGATGTGTCGTTGTTGTTGTTGTTATTATGTGCCATCGAGTCACCTGGTACCAGCTGTCAAGATCAGGAGGTGTACTGCACTGAGAAAGTCTGTAATCTAGGACCTCTCCAAATTATTGAAGAGCAATGATGTAAATTTGAGAACTGAGGCTCACTAGCTTCAAGCTGTGATTCAAGATCTTTTCAGTCACTTGTTAGGAATCTGGGAGCTGGACAATGAATAAGGATGACAGAAGAATGTGATGTCTTTGAACTGTGATGTTGGAGAAGAGTATTGAACATCCATGGACTGACTGCCCAAAGAACAAACAGATATGTCTTAGGGGGCAGCCAGAGTGCTCCTTGGAGGCAAAGATGATAAAGCTTCATCTCACACACTGTGGCATGTTGCTAGGAAAGGTTATTCGTTGGAAAGGCACATCATGCTTGGAAGAGTGAAGGGACAGCAAAGGAGAGGAAGACCTTCAACCAGGGGGATTGACACAATGACTGGAGCATTGAGTTTGAGTGTGTTGGAGATTGTGAGGATGGCACAGGAAAGGACAGGGTTCAGATCTGTCATTCATAGGGTCGCTGTGAGTTGTACTTGACTCAATGGCACCAAACAACAACCACCACCTCTGAATTAGAAGCACAACTCCCTTCCAACTAGACTACCAGAACTCCCTGACTTTATTATGTATGTGGATATATTTGCAGCACGTACAAATGTGCATGAAGACATCCCATCTGCCAAACTTATATATGGTCATTGACATAGTCCCTTTCACTTGCCCCTATTAATCTGGACTATCTGCCTATATAGCCACTTGGAGATTAATTTTTGCTATTACTGATAATTCAGAATAGACATATTGCCATGAGAAAGTCTGCTGTTAGGGAGCTCTCCAAAGTACTGAAGAGCAATGGTGTCTCTCTGGAGACTAAGGTGCATCTGATATAGGCCATGGTCTTTGCTATCACTTGCTATGCATCAGAGAGTTGGACAAGTGACTAAGGAGGATAGAAGGAGAATTGATGCCTTTGAGCTGTGGTGCTGGAGAAGAGTAATGAGGGTACCATGGACTGCTAGGAAAACAAACAAATTCATCCTGGAAAGGGTTAAACCGGGCAGCGCCTTGAAGGCAAGGATTCTGAGGCTCTGTCTAACATAATTTGGACATGTTGTAAGGAGGTCCTTTGAGAAGGACATCATACTTGGTAGGGTGGAGGGACAGCACAGGAGGGGAAGGTCCTCTGTGAGGTGGATTGATTCAGTGACTGGGGTAATCAAGACGGGAGTGTCAGAGACAGTGTGATTGGCACAGGATAGAGCAGAGTTTAGGGCTGTTGTACTAGGGTCGCTATGAGTTGCAAGCGAGTCAGACGGCATATAACAACAATAACAACATGCACATAATAGTGTTTCTTTTTATTGTCTATAGCTCTTTGTTGTTGACCTAGGATTGAGAATAAGTGAGATGTGGACACACAGGAATAGAGAAAAGAGAGCTTGATGGCTGGGGGAGAAGCCCCAGCCCCGAACCTAGTTTCCCTGTAACTTTATTGAAAATTGCCAGGGAGCAAATCACAAAGGGAATTCTATGCAAATTAAGCTAGGCCTTTTCTATTGACAACATTACATTTATCTCATGAAGGAAGCAGTTCACAAGTACTGACTCTTAACACTCCCTCTTCAGGGAGCCCTAGCTGCTTTTTGTCTGCAGGAAGCAACTCATTTCTTGTGATAAGAGGAATTCCAACTTATATTTTTGTGTTTCCTTCAATTCCTCATGAAGCATTTGGTTTAACATATAACTTCATATTTGGCTTCCTACAACTCTTTTTTGTTTGCTTTTCGGGTTTGTTTTTTTTTTCTTGTTTAGTACCATTGAATTGGACCTGACTGGCACTGGAGGAGATTGTTCCTCTTTCTCCAGCGAAGCATCTGGTGGATTTGAACTGTGCACCTTTGGAATTGCAGCACAGTTTTTTGCCACTAGGCCGCCAGAGCTCCCTGTTGTCTACTGCTCTTGTACACCTCTCTGTGTCTTCCTTGTCTTTATTAATAGTATGCTGATCATCCCTTTATTTTACATAATCTTTTCCTTCACTTAACATAATATGTACCTATATATAAAGAGGAGGATGTAATTTTAAAGACTAAGGTGCACTTGACCCAAGCCATAGGCTTTTCAGTTGCTTCCCATGCATCTGAAAGTTAGACAAGGAATAAAGAAGACAGAAGAAGTAAT